GTAGAATTGAAGATAAGGGAGAGCAATGAAGAAGTATATTCACTTATACATTCTATTCAGGCTAATTATTTAAGAAGTCTGGTAGTAAAAGGTGGCGAGAATAAAACAACTAGAAGTGGAAGGCGGTTTTTAAAAAGTTATTTTTCTCAAGATATTAGAAATATGTGTATTTAAAGATTATAAAGAAGGAAGAAAATCAAGATTTTTTTGATAGAAAAGATATCAGATATCTTTGATTCTTATTTCAGTTGGTTGTTTTTAAGGGGAAATAGGGACACAAGTTATTTTTCAAAGAAAAAAAGATTAATAAAATGTGATTTTATTTCTTTTCTGCCTTCTGATCATGAAAAATCTAAGCATTAAGGTTAATCTCAGGTGAAACCTATACCCATTGCCTTGTTACTAAACTCTTACCTTTTCTTCCTAATGACAAAACATTTTGTGAACTTCATGAATCCAGCTATTTTAACACACACATTACACACTCACTCTTCCCTGGCAAAGAGAAGTTACTAGACTAAAGGGGAAAGAGTATTTGATCTTTGGAAAGTTGAGACTAGAACTTCTATAATGCTCCTGCTTTATTACAGCATGAAGAAGACTTTGAATTACGGAAAGAGCTGATTGGACAGGTGATGAACCAGCTTGGACAGCAACTTGTGAGCCAGCTGCTCCACACATGCTGCTTTTGTCTCCCCCCCTATACCCTACCAGATGTGGCTGAAGTGCTTTGGGAGATCATGCAGGTTGACAGGCCGGTAAGATTGTTTTCATAAGGAATCTATCTCATAGTCCCTAAATCTAACAGGCTTTGGTTCCTTAAGGCCAATCCTAACTTTGAAACAAGCCCTGTTGTATGTCCATGGAATCAAATTTAGGGATATTGCTAAGTTTAATTGGTAGATGAAGGTGCCCATAGAAGGCTAGTAATTCATTACTGGGTTCTTGAAAGTATGTTTGTGTGTCACTGTCATGGGGTTCATATATTACCAGAAATAAGTACTAAGCATGGAACTCAGCTTTGTGGCTGACCAATGGAAAATTTGTTCACTTGTGAGACATGCCTGTATATCAGTTACATGGAGTTGCAGGTTATTCAAGAAATGTTTAATCATTTCAGATTCCTTATATAGCACTGTGTTTTTCCTTGGTAATAAATATAGCCAGAGCAGGTAAGTGTCAACCTAGCCCATAATGTACTCTTGGATTTATTTTCTCTTTGGATTTATTTGCTCTTCACCTGAGAATGGAAGGGTTTTTTAAGGCTATCTGATAATGTCCAAGTAATTTCTATGCTGGGCCATATGATCGTAAATCAGGTTATATGTACTCAGTGAAAGTTGAACAGAGTGGCAAAGTATAATATATCCTGTAAACTATTTTTAAAATAGGGTTTAGATTTTTTAATATTAATATAAAAGCAGTTCAGGAAAGTACACATTGGACCTAGTTAAAGTGAGCTATCTTCTAGAACCACGGAATATATAATAGATAAATAATGCATAATGGATAGTACATATAGTTCCCATTGCTGCTTGTTTGATGCACATGTTCCATTTCAATCTAATGCAGTAGCATTTTTGTGTTTTCCTAAAGAAAGTACTCTTTGGGCCCAGGGGTCAACAAATTTAATTCCAGAAGTTCTTGACTTGAGAAATAAAATCTCCATGCTCTGCTTAAACTTTTTTGTAATTATACGTGGTTCCCAGGTAACAGAAGACTTACTATTTAAATCTAACTGTATAAGAACATTCTTGATTTGTAAACATGTAGTTAAGTGCTAACAAAAGAAGAAAATGGGAACAGCAGGTTTGAACAGGAACAGAAACCAGGTGGCCCTGTGCTCTTAAGAGTTTACTATATAGATACCCGCTCAACTGTCAAGTAATTTAAAGTGATTGTCCTCTATAAACATCAAGTTACAACTGAGTTTGTGTAAAGGAACTCTTACATAAATTTGGGTTGTCTGTGGCCTGTAAACTGATTGATAGTGTGACTAAGTACATGAGTCCAGAGAAAATTCACATTCTTGAGCACTTTCTTAATCAAATCATTTTTAAAGTTCAACACAAATTCTTCAATAGAAGATGACATACCAGCTTTCTTTTGTAACTCGAATAAACTGTTAAAACCCTTTCCTCTGTTCCCCCTCTTTGTTAGATACCCATCTGTGGCAAATTTATTCACTGTTTTCAACCAAATTTTTCAGATTCCTTCACTAGAAGATGATAAGGACCATTATGTGCTAGCTAATTAGTTTTTGCTTTTTAGTTTGGTTTTTTATTTTTGTTTTGAGGGGATACTAGAGTTAACTAATGGGCCATTTTTGGATGTCAAAACTTTGTCAATTAAGCGTTCTTTCCTGAATATTTTGCCCTGTTTGTTTTTTTTCTGAGTAGAGTGTTGTCTCCCCTGGGAGCAACATTTGAAGTATTACCTAGTACTTAAGCTTTGATATTATAATATTTACTTTTGCTCTGGCCTGTTATCATAAATGAACATGATGTAACCTCAAACTCCTGGGCTCAAGTGATCCTGCTGCCTCAGCCTCCCAAGTAGCTGAGACCTCAGGCTTTCACCACTTTGCCTGGCTAATTTTTCTATTTTTTGTAGAGACAGGGTTTCACTGTGTTGCCCAGGCTGGTCTCGAACTCCTGGCCTCAAGTGATCCTCCTGCCTCGGCCTTCCAAAATGCTAGGATTGTAGGCACGAGCCACTGCACCTGGCCAAACACATTATTTAAAATAGCAGCAAGAGTGAGATTTTCTAACCACAGAAGCAGGCAGGTATCACAAAGGAACTGAATGGATATGACTTCAACTGAGAGAGATATCCTTAAATCCTTAAGATTCTGGGTTCATATTAGAGATATAATTTCTGACATGACTGCTTAGTATACGTTTGTTCCTGCTCTGTTTGGTATCTGAATCTTTACTTTGGGTTGCTTTTGATGTTTAATTTCAAGAGTTTTTCTGGCATCTGTTTAATTTTTTGAGTATTATATAAGTTTATGACAGGAACAGAACAATAGTTTCATCTACAAGAGACTTCACTTCCAAGGTGTAGAAGGCCTTTATCTGAAGTAATGCCTGCTTCCCCTTTGAAGGGGAGTCCAGGCATGCATTTGGAGACTGCATCAACCCAGAGGGTTTTGAAGGCTAAAGATAGTACTTTTGTCGATTCCTTTACTTGCTTCCAGGTCTAGGGGAGCAAAATGCTACAAAGGAAAACCTGTGGGGTTTTGTTAGTGCTTGTAGGGTCCCTGGTGAGTGAGCTGTGCCTCCTTGTAAAAACTCTTATCTCCTTCCCTATACAGACTTTTTGTCGATGGTTAGAAAATTCCTTGAAAGGTTTGCCAAAGGAGACAACTGTGGGGGCTGTCACAGTGACACACAAACAACTTACAGACTTCCACAAGCAAGTCACTAGGTAAGTGATGCTGGGAGTTCTTAAAAAGAGTGTGAACAGCAGCTAGAGTGTATGGAAAAAATATATCTGTTTCTTATGTGCCCTTGGAAATTCACAATTTAGAGTCTGTCTAGTCTTGAACTGCACAAATTGGCATTGAAAGCCAGTCTAGGGGGAAAAACATCACCATGTTGCATATATGTGCATCACTTACATAGTACATATATACCAACTGATACAGGATGTCAAAGGGTAAGTGGAGACACTGTTGAAATGCAGTGAGCAGCTCCTCCCCCTTCAGGAGATCGGTATTTATCTTTCTAAGTCCTTCTTAGTTCTCATCCATATTCAGGAGTCAAGAATACAGGTGTGCCTGAATAGGCAAAACGTTGGTTGTAAAACATTAGAGAGTGATGTAGACTGCAGTGAACTAGAGAATTTTCCCCATGCCTAAAGATACTCAAATTCTAATTTCAAAGAAGTCGTGCAGCCCAAACTAAACATCCCTCCTGGGATACATTAGGCCCATGAGCCATGTACTCACAATCTCTGGATTATAGCTTAGCTGATATATGAAGTGTGTGTGAGTGGTTTTTTTTTTTTTTAGTACGAACATATAAAACATTTTTAATATAGTTACATAGTCTTCTAAATTACTGTTTACAGTCGTAAAGGTGTTACTTGATTTCCTTATGATGCCTTTATTAGTAGACACTTAGATTATTTTCAGTATTTCAGTATTACAGATAATACCAAAAGTAGAGCCTTTCTTTTTGAATATTTTCCTTAAAGTGTAATCATGAATCAAAGGTTATAAGACGTTTATGGTCCTTGATAATATTAATGACAGCAACTTAAATTGGATTTTGTAGCTCTGTGTTTCCGCACCCTGATACTCCTTTTTAAAATATCTACTCAGGCTTTCACCACTTTGCCTGGCTAATTTTT